AATCAGGGGTCCCGAAAATGCAGTTTTCAGATTGTTAATAATGCTTTTTCATGATGTTGAGAAACTAATCATAGCAATTATTTAAATTATTCTGGGCAATAAAAATAATATAAGCACCGAAGTATAGCACTGGAAAACGGCCATTATTCTGTTCTTGAGTTCAAACATGAGTAAAACAGTAGCTTGGAAAAGGCGAACACTTGAAAAATTCACCACAAAACCAACGCACAGGTCCCAAATTAACCTACATGACCGCTCTCTTATTATAATACTACGATTTGAGCGAGTACGATTCTCTAACAGCCAACACTGGCTACTTTACCAGAAAGTAGCTCAGGAAATACATATAGGGGCTGTGAATACATCTAAATCTGCATTTATGGCCAATAAAGCAGCGATGCCTAGCTTACAATTTATGAATTTAATTCGGATGTGGCTTGGAATCAATCATTACAATTAAAATTTCGAATGCCATTTTATGAGTATTTCTTTCAGTAAACTGACCGGCAAGTATGAATAGATTCTCGGTGACTGTCGCTGTTCACCAGCAGGTAGATGTGACTAGGTAATCTATTGTGGCTCGGGGACAAGAGCACCCTCCATTTTGCAATGGAAAGCTCCGGAAGTACTCAACATCCGCCACGACGGAAGTAGACCATTTGGTTTACCAGTACTCTCTATCGCCTGTAAGAGCCATGTCGACGGCAGAGCCGTTCACCTGCGCCGCCCACTTTTGTTGGCCGACACTAAGGAACTCGACACGATGGCGTTCACACCGAGAAGGTGTAGAATGTTTGCAGTGGTCACTGTCGTGGCGTTTATCTATGAGGTGATGGCGCAGGAGGCAGCAGGGTCATCATCGTCAGGGTCTTTTACATCATCGTCAGGCTCAGAAGTTGGTATTGTTCCTGCCACAACGATAGCTCAAGAGCTGGCTCAGGAGTGGTTTACAGCCAACTTTTGCGATAACGAGACACAGTTGGCGGTTGGCGTGGACTCCTACTTGAAAAATCTGTCCAGCAGTGATATTATCTGCAACGGCGTACCGTCACTTCAGCGACGTACGGACGATCAGCTACCAAACTTCGGTTGTCCCGACGTTTTTACGGCGAAAGATGCATCATGCACGTGTATGGATGCTGGGTATAACGACTCGGAAACGTGGGAATTTCACGTCGTTAAGCGAAGTAATGACAGCGAATATCCGACTGCGCTTTCTTCTGCGGATATTCTCCCAATCGACACTATTAGGACGATGCTGGTCCCATCGACGCTCAAGACACTGTAAGTATGGTGTTTAGGGACATTCACCACCAAAAATGCTGATGAGAGCTTTATTTTGTTGATACAGGCGTATTATCGGAGGCGGAAACGTGCCTCAAGACATTCAATTCTCACCGGAAGATCGACGCATTCCTGGGACTACATTACCTATTGCTACCAGTCCTAACAGCACAATCTCCATCTCCACAGTGTAAGCTTTTGTTTTTTAGCGTGTTTTGGAATAATCAACGTACTAATTTATTGCTACAGGGAAATCATCAACATCAACATGTTCTCGATCACTCTCTCGGCGTCCTCGTTCCTGCCGCCCACTACAACCAATCTGTACGTGGAAATCAGCAAACCTATATCTATAGGTGAACTTATCTATCTCCTTGTCTGTTACTATGCTTCAGCGCGCTTCGAAACTGCAACTTATTCGGCTTTGGCTTCCACTTTTTCGATGGAGTGACCAACCTGCAGCACTTGTACGTCTAAATGTATTCTCTAACATAGCACGAAGACCTGAAGCACTGACTAGTGAATGCTGTTCCACGTGTACAGGGATTTGTCTTCAAACTCTCTGACGGTACCTTACGCTGGCTCGACTACTCAGAGCTCTTGTTCGAACCAGTTGTGCGCTATTGAGACACTGTAAGTTGACTGCTGATCCAAACATCTCGGTCTTTTACTCACGTTGTTATCAACTATATCCCAGTAACCTCACCAACAACAGTCTGACAACATTTCCAGCAGTAGTTCTCAACATCGGCAATCTTCAGGAACTGTAAGTAAATATCGGGTTGTGTACAATGTGTATCTGACCTTGTCTTCTGTGCTCTATCCAGATATATCGCTCACAACGATATCACGGACTTCAACGTCACCAACGCCACATTCAATGCCATCAAGAGTCTGAAAGCTTTCGAATCTGATCTGCCCGATACGTCCGCGATATGTCCTGGTGGCACATGGCAGACAGCACACAGCTCTAAGTTCTGCGTAGCCAACAGCACCATCGCAACTTCAGGTACGATTATTCTTTCCCGATAATGCCCAACAACTGGCTAACACTCTCGTGTAGAGTCGAGTTCAGGCACCTGCACCCAATGCATCACGTATGTGGGGATCATCGGTGGCTGCATAATTGTGGCTCTTATCGTCTTGGTACTGTGGCAACGATCCCGTACACGTCGTCGTGCCTTATCTGCGTCTTTAGTGTCTTCACCTTCAAGCTACTACCTCGCCAGAAGTGGGAATGAGACTGTAAATATCCAGATATCCGACAAAAGCGCCACTGAAGCGCTACTAGAAGACCCGGTTATCATCACCAATCGTATCAACTACAAGGAGATCAAGCTGGGCAAATGTCTTAGCAGAGGTGGCTTCGGTTTGGTGTTCGTGGGCGAGTACAAAGGCCGTCAAGTTGCAGTAAAGAAGATCCGTCCTGACCGCAGTCAGGACCCGAAAGATGTCCAGGCGTTCCTCAAGGAGATTATCCTCATGACTGAGCTTCACCACCCACGCATCGTTGAGTTTATCGGTGTGGCTTGGGATAATCTAAAGCACATTTCAGCGGTGACTGAGTTCATGGAGAGTGGAGACTTGAGGCACGTGCTGCGTAGCTTCAAACGTCAAGGTACTCCGTTGTCCTGGAGGGACCACAAGACCACGATATCACTGCACATAGCTGAGGCGATGCAGTACTTGCACTCTCACAATCCAAAGGTGATCCATCGAGACTTGAAGTCCAAGAACGTGCTGCTCAACATGCACCTGGAAGCTAAGTTAACCGACTTTGGCGTCTCTCGAACACAGTACACGGCACAGACTCATCCCATGACGGCAGGTATCGGCACGTCGTTCTGGATTGCACCGGAGGTTTTACTAGGTCGAGACTACAACGAACAGGCCGATATCTACTCTTTCGGAGTGGTATTATCAGAGATTGATACAGACGACTACCCGTTCTGGAACGACGCCAACCGAGACGGTCCTCGTGGTAAACTACAGGAAGCAGATATCTTACGGCAGGTCGCGACAGGTAATAAGCGGCCACAGTTCTCGACGAACTGTCCGGCCGGCATCATGTTGCTGGCGGAGAGCTGCTTACAGGAGAACCCGGACGATCGTCCGACCGCTGCCGCCGTCGTAGAAACACTACAACAGCTTGTGCGCTCGAGTCTTCAGCCAAGTTCGTCCGACTCGGCACCGTCCTTCGCCTCAGGCACGAGCTGGACTGTAAGCTAGACAATCAATAGAAACTGTATCATTAAACACCTTCCACATAAACTCGACCACCATGTTCGACTGAACCGACGGTGACGGTCGCCGTACCCAACGGCGCAAGATAGTAGCACGCTGTATTTGGTGTCCTCGAAGGGTACACTTGAATGGAAAGCCAGAAACCTCTATGCGATCTGTTCAGTGGAGAGCAAGACGCTCTCTGGTTGTACACCCTTAGTCTAAACAGACTTGAATCTGAACGCTAGGCGATAGATCAATTGACAGTCCGCTGTGTGTACGATGAGATGGTGCGTTTGGCTGTCCCTGCTGCTATCGACAAGTGCAGCGCAGAGCTCGTCTTCCTGGACGGGCTTTGGGTCGTTGAATGATAGTGACGCAGGGGTGACGACAGCCGAGGTCCTCGCTCAAGACTGGTTCCAAGCCAACTTGGACGACAACGTGACGTACCTGGCTGTCGGTGTGAACTCCAGGCTCTCGAATATAACGGGCAGTGATATTATCTGTGGGAAGGGAGTGCCATCGCTACAGCGACGTACAGCTGAAGTCCTGCCGAACAACGGGTGTCCAGCTATCTTCACGGCGGTGAACGGGTCGTGTACGTGTCTGCCGGAATACAACAATACCGACTCGTGGGAGTTTTTCGTGGCGAAAAGGACCACGGAGACTGAGTATCCGTTTACTCTGAACGACACAAATGTGCTGCCTATCGACTCAATTCGGACACTTTTGGTACCGTCCAGTGTGACTTCTCTGTAAGATTCACTACAGGCGATTTGAAAGCAGTAGAGTTCGCTTAACTTTTAGATTTTTTTGTTTGATTTAGATCGATTACAGGTGTGGGCGATGAGCATCAGTCCATTTCGTTCGTGCCACAAGATGTCGCCCTGCCTGGATCAAATATTCCTGTTGCTGTCAATGCAGACGATACTAGCGATGCCAGCTCCATTACCGCAGTGTAAGCTCGACCATGCGCCGAAATTTGAATCTATCTAACACATTTTATGAATTGTAGACGAATCGAAAACATCGACATGTCATCCATCGTCTTGAACACGGGACATTTCTTCCCGACGACTACTCTGAACCTGTAAATGTAGAGTGAAATGATGTCGTAAGCGCTGTGGAAATAAGTGGGCTTATGGATTGATTTTGTCCTAGAACTATGCGCAATTGCGGCCTGGAGACTTTCGGATTTGACTTCTTCCAAGGCCTCAAAACCGTCCAATATCTGTAAGTGCAGACTTATTTTACCGAAACGTTAACTAACTGCGCTGTTTGTTGCGTCTAGCGATTTTTCGGAAAATAATCTGGCTAAGCCATACGCAGGCAACACTATCACCAGGACTTGTACAAACCAGTTCTGTGCTGTTCAGATTCTGTAAGTAGTTTAGAATTTACTCAAGAATTGTTCAGTTGTTGAAATCTGACGCAATATTTGGTATTGACAGAAATCTAACAGGAAATCAATTGACAAGCTTTCCCTCTGTCGTCTTCAACCTCGAAGACCTCAGTGAACTGTACGTACTCTAGAACTCGCTGAAAAAAAGCAAATCTAACTGATCATTTTGTCAACAGCTACATTCGCAACAACAATTTTACAGATTTTAACGTCTCCGCCTCGGCCTTCAACTCAATTTCAGCACTGCGAGCGTACGAGTCCGACCAGCCAGACGAATCATCTACGTGCTCTAATGGAACGTGGAAAACTGCTCATGGAGTCAAGTTTTGCGTGCTCAATGATGCTACTGATAGCGAAGGTATGATGTATAGTTTGTACTTTTGATTGGAATTTATTAACAATGTTGTTGTTTTTTTTTTAGATTCCTCGAATGATTCCAGATTGCTGCCTTACATTGCCATGACAGCAGGAGCTGGAATAATCGTTCTATGTATCATTTTTATATGGATGAAATGCTTCCATCGACCAGATCTGGAGCGTTGGTCCTACTCTTCGAAGGTCGATTCCACGAGAACATCCTATGTGGATGACGCTAGACGAGAAGTGAACCGATCTCTCTTGGATGACCCCGTTATTGTGACGAACCGAATCGAGTACAAGCATCTGAGACTTGGTAAATGTATCAGCAAAGGAGGATTCGGACTAGTATTTACAGGTGAATACAGAGGCCGTCGAGTTGCCATCAAGAAGATCCGACCAGATCGCAGTGGAGACGTGTCGGAGATTGAAGTGTTCTTAAAGGAGATTATACTTATGGCGGTACTGTATCATCCGAGAATCGTCGAATTTATCGGAGTGGCATGGGATAATTTACGACATTTATCCGCAGTTACCGAGTACATGGATAAAGGCGATCTCCGAGAAGTTTTGTACACTTTCAAGGAACGGGGATCTCCTTTATCGTGGGAAACCCATAAGGCTCCAATTGTGCTCCATATTGCTCAAGCTCTCTCGTATTTACACTGTCAACATCCAAAAGTGATTCATCGTGACCTAAAATCCAAGAATGTGCTGCTCAATTTGTATCTGGAAGCGAAATTGAGCGATTTTGGAATATCTCGAATGCGATATGCTATCGAGACGCACATGACAGCAGGAGTGGGGACTTCTTTTTGGATAGCCCCTGAAATTCTACTTGGTCAGGACTATGATGAGCGTGCGGATATTTACTCATTTGGCGTGGTTTTATCCGAGATCGACACGGATGACTATCCGTACTGGAACGACAAGCATCCGAATGAACCGAGAGGTAAAATCCAAGAAGCAGAGATTCTGACTCAAGTCGCTGCAGGACAAATCCGACCAGATTTTTCGACCAACTGCCCCGAAGAAATAACAGCAATAGCAGATGCCTGCTTGCAGAGGGATCCAAGAGACCGCCCTACGGCTGCAGAGATTGTTGAAGTGATGAAAAAATTACTGCATCCGTCATGTCGGAGATCTTCGTCGCTGTACATGTCGGATAATGACTCCGCATCCATTTGGACCGTTTAAAGCCCAAGCAACATTATTTTATAGAGGTTTTGTCGTGGTTCAAAGTCGTAGCAGTGTAGGTATCATTTGACCACAGCATCTCGTAGTGACTCTCTTTTTTTCACTATTGTTATGTAGAACGGTTGATGTCCTTTGTAACAGCTTGCTTGGGTACACTCGAAATACTAACGGAATTCGGTTTTTGATAAAGGCGTTATTTTTCCTTTTTTGGTGATAAAGTGACCTTCTATTTGACTTTATGTATTTTTCTATCCGTGCTGAAATATATATGGCGAAGGCGTTGCACTTCCAAATACGTTATTTTTAGCGTTTCAAGCTCGTTGGTAAGAGAAGGCTCTGTCTTACAAAGCCGACTTGAGCATCTTATGATAAGGACGATGTTGCATTCCCAACGGCTTATTGAATGTCACTTGTTGGCCGACAAACCGAAAGACTGGTGCTCACAAATATCTATTGTTAGAGTATAGCCACTATTGACTAAAAGCTGTACATTTTCTCATAGTACGACAGGTCTGGTACAGGGCTGAGTGATAATTAACGGACCGGGGTCAAATATGGGGTATGACAATTGTAAATAGATGCGTATAAGCGTTCATTCTTAGGTGCCATTAACTGCATCAATGTCTCAAACAATGACCACAACGCACTTCTGAAGACTTGGAAGTACCGTCGTCAAACAGGGACTGATTGCTGCTCCGAGTTGAACACGGAGAGGAGATCGTCTGCATCTTCCGTTCATTAACGAAGCTACTTATTGTCGCTTGTGCTTACATTCCTTGGTTTTATATGTACTGAAGGCTGTCTGTAGTAATTTACGATTCAAGATTGCCGCACTCGCGATTGTTTTATTATTAAATCTTTACCGGTTGCTGCTCCTTGAAGACGATGGGTCATAACTCTTTCACTGAAACAAAGAGAACGCGGGGGTGAAATGAGTGAGACTAAACTACACATAAACGTTTCTTCCTATACAGGGCAGAGTCCAAGTGCCGTTTCAAGATAATTTTAATATTAAAAAAAATAGTGGCAACGGCTTTGCGCGTCCAAGGGCGTCACGTCATGAGACCATAAGCTCTGCTTGAGGCCACCCATAGGTTTCTAAACTCCTTTCAACGGCAAATAACGGACGAAAACGGCGATGAGGGGCAGCCCATTCTCAAAACCTATTATTGCAATGCTACTGCTAACAGTTCGCTCCTGTTAGCTGAGGCTTTTGAAGCCTACACTGGGCACCGGTTAGCCTCTTTGAGACACTTGTCAAGTTGCCGCCAATTTAACAGCCAAACACTGCACTCATCATGGATCAACCCCAACGTCTACCTTCAATGACCCCCTTCGCCGAAGCTCCTCGAAATCTACAGCTCGACCGCTTCCTGTTCTTCCCTGAACATTTAGTACTACCAATTAATGACGAAATGATCTTGGAACCATCTGTAGTCGTCACAACAAATGCTCAATCGTGGGCACAGCAAAACACACAACTAGACCTAGATCAGCTGGTTTTTGTGTCTCCAATGTCAAGTCCCCCACAAAATCAAGTCCTCCCGACTTCAATCGCATTGATGATGTCCAAGAGCAATCGCCAACGAAGCCCTTCTATTTTGGAGTGCTATGCACAGACCATTCCGCTATCGGCTTCCTGCCACAGCGTCCAAAAGCGTTGTTTGTTCCCAGACTGCACAAAGATGTCAGTCAGCAAAGGATTGTGTCGTGGACACGGCGGTGGACGTCGGTGTCATTTCACCGGTGGATGCACGAAAAGTGCACAGAGTCGCAGCATGTTCTGCTGGGCGCATGGCGGTGGTCAGCGCTGTGACGTCGACGCGTGCATGCGTTCACGTAAGTCCAAACATTATTGCGTTGCTCACATGCACCTGGAGACAGACTGCAGTCAAGTGTCCTCATTCACTAAAAGTCCTCGAGTACCGAGAACACGTCGAAGTCGCTATGTCCCAGTTCCTACACCAATTCACAGGCAGCCTTCTCAACCACTGCTGCCCAGTCTTGGCCAAGCTCTTAGTGCTGCGTCGCTCTCGCTTCCAAGCTTCCCCATACTTCCTCAAGTTCGTGCCCGTCTCACTGAATAACAAACAATTATCCTTTAGGGCTTCATGTGCAAGATTATGTGTTCAACGTACAACCTAAACATATATTACACAAAAATTATATAATGCAAATATATTACGCGATTTTTTTTTACTTAGTTACTATTTGCTGGCCACGGTTGGTATCCAGTCTTATATTGCGATGGAGGAGCAGGCGGCGACGGAGTTCTTGCAGACCATACTGCTTCCGAGGAATATTGAGTTGGTACCGTGCGAAGTAGCGCTTCGTTTAGGCTAGGAAGCTGCAGAGATGGCGTCGAAATGCCAGAAACTTCGCCGGCGTATTGATGCTGAACATACTTCTCCCGCACGCACTCAACCGAAACCATGCGCTTATTTTCTTTGTTGTGGACGACCGACAAGCTGCTGTCGCAGGAGATTGTGGACTGTCTGCCGACACTGTCGTCGGAGTCGGCGCTAGTGTATGAACTAGAAGAGGTCTTGGCTCTGGAAGACGCTTTAGCAGTCGATTTCGCCTTGGAACCAGGCTTGGAAGCCTTGTCCGCTTCTGGTTTTAGCGGCACAGTCAGCTCCATATCGACGTGGTCCACGCAAAACCTCTTGGTCTTGCGGCTGCGACGGCAATTTGGCGCCTCGCAGCGCTTGCCACCGCCGTGTGCCCAGCAGAATGGACTGCGACTCTGTGCACACTTGGTGCACCCGGTGTGTTGGCACCGTCGACCTCCGCCATGGCCGCGGCACAGACCTTTACTAACTGCAATTTTCTTACAGCCCTCAAAGGAGCATTGCTTTGCACCGCAACCTGTTAGTAGAGCGCGTGCCAGTGAGGGTGCGATCTCATCTTTACCCACAGCAGTGGAGGTAGATGACACTGCAGGCGTGGACCCGCGCGTCCTCTTCTTGCCACTCGTGGCACTCGGAGGCGAACGAAGTGTAATTTGATGAACTCCTGGTGGTGTAGGAGAAACCGCGGGCGGGGTTCTGAGTCCAGTATTAAGAACCTGACTCTGTGAGGCCCAGCTCTTTTGTTCCTCCTCGGCGTAGCTGGAGATCTTCATAGCTTGGAAAGCGGCTTGTTGCTCGGCCGTCATCCGATCCGGAGACGGCATACCGCCGAATGGACGGGTACGAGGAGCTGGGACCTGGTAGTATGCTTGTGTCTGCTGTGCGTATCCAGGTGGGGCCTCTGCGGCGTTGTACGGGCCTGTGGCTGGCGTGCCGTCCAGGTATTTGCCCATGGCACGGAACAGCCTCTCACGCTCGTCTCCTTCGGTCGTGACGGGTCTGGAAGGTGTGCCTTGGGTATCTGATCCTCGTCGGATACTCTCGTCCATCACAGAAGCCTGCAGGAGCGGGAAGGAACGTGCCACGTCCATCGTATCGACTTGGTTGTGCTGCTGCTGCTCCAGCACTTGGGCGGCGGCCAGAACGAGCTGCTCCGGGGTGGGCGACGCGCTCTGACGCTGCACGTTCCAGGCCATGGCGCGTGGGAACAGGCGGTGACGCAGCGGCAGCCCGGCGTCCGCGTCGGCTGTGGACGCGTGGTCGGACATGTCGAGTACTGAACTTGTGTTGTAGGCGGCCAATTTGATAATGTGGCCTGTGGTTGTACAGCGGTCAAAGCGCTCTCACTTTGTACGCTCTCAATTTGAAACAAGTGGCAGGTTTTAACCTACCTTTTAGTTTTGTCCAATGAAAAAGACGTAAATTAGAGTACGATTTAATCAACCGCTCATTTTTAGCAGTGCGAGTGATGGTCACAGTTGGATTAGGGGTAGGTCTGATCTCGCGAAACACTAGAACCGAAAGATAAATAACGCAGCACGACGGTGGTGGCGGCGATTGCAAACGCATCTGTAGTAGGAAACCAAGTGTACACCTCGAAGGTCTATGCTTTAATTGTCTGGCATCGCTGCTGGTGTCGCTGCATGGCTCTTTTCGGCCGAAATGAAATTATTCCAATTTTGTCCCGTCTCAATGAAAACAGCTGGTTTCACTGATTAATGCCTTCGTTTACGATATGTTTGTCTTATTTCACATCTGTACTGGTAAACAGACTTCACGAGGAGGTTTTCGCGGCAATTGCCCGGATAACCAAGAGGCCGGGTCCGCGCTGCATTAGCGTGGAGTTTAGTGGCATTCCAGCGTGTGCGGCATCGCCCAAGCCGAAGATAGCGGCACCTTGGGACACTCCGCAAGGGTGTGATAGGGGCAGGACCCGGGTGGTACCGCCGGGGTCAGCCGTCGTCACGCCGTTATCACCAAGACATTGCGGGAAAACTCAACAAGGTCAACTTGGTCCACCACGTGCTGTTTGGTGACACTCATAAATTAGGAGCCACACGTCAGAATGACTACAACTTGCACTCTACTTGGTGCCTTGTAGAAACAGACTACAAGACGGCGGCACCGCAGAGCTGACGCGGTACACCCAATTGAGCTTCCGATTTGGGGAGATCGCCGTCGGCACTACATAGTAGTCTTGTTTGCTTTACATCAGCTATGCGAAACGCTGGAAAAGAGCGCCATCCACTGCAACCACTTCATCGTAAAGAATCTTGGAGAGTCTAGAGCCAGGCGCGACGCAGCCGCGAGGGCGGAGTAGAGGAGGCATTGAGCTCCATTGACCGTCAAGCCGTCATGATATGACAGCGAAAACTCTCCTCATTATCGTCTTTCGAGTAAAACACAACTAGTTGGTCGCTTAGCCAGCAATTGTCGAGATTCGACTACACCAAAATACTCGAAGCGATAGACAGATGACAGTTGCAGCGCGGTGATGCCGCGGGTGGACCAATACAGTGTACAGTACCTGTATTGGCAATACAGATCCGTGTTGAAGTCCGCCACGGCTGCAGTATGCGACGTGAGCTCCTCGCTCCGTCTCCGGTTGCACAGCCAGCCTTGATGGACAGGATTGGCGTGGCGCACACGCACGCACGTGGGTTAACAACGCCGGTAGAGTCTGGTTGCAGTGCAAGCTGCGGTGACGGTAATATGGATAGATCAGCGAAGAACTCGTTGAATTTTGACTGGAAATGGCAAAAGCATTTTGCTAATTTGTACTTTTGATAAAACACAAGTGGATGATATGAACTGGAAATATGCAAATATATTCGTTAGGTCATAAAATCTTATTTGTTTGTCACTTTCACATGTGTGATGTAACAGTTCCTCGTGTTTAGAAAAGGCTGTAGGCGATTGCGGTGAGGCCAGCAACAGCAAGACTCGAGAGAGACAACTTGGAGGCCGATGAGGTAGACGAGGATTCAGTCGAAGACGTGGACGTGCTTCCGCTACTGCTGCTGCTGCTGCTGCTCGTGCTTGTGCTCGAGCTCGTGGTGCTGGTGCTTTCGTCACCAAGCACAGGGTCGTAGTGGAGCGTCTTCGTGTAGGAAGGAAAGACCCATTGAAACAAGGTGTCGGCACCTGACGTGACAATGGATGAGTTGATCACATTCTTCTCCACACTGTCAAGAATGACGATTGATGGCGCGTCCATGAACATGGACTCTCCCAGGTCCACCCGCTCAACGGTAGTGTTGCTGGTACTGTTACCCTTTGGCATCTTCTCCGGCTTGCCGATGTCTGCACCCTTGGGGCCCTTCGCGTCCAGCTTGACAGCAAGAGCCAGCGTGTTGGCCGAGTTGGCAAACGGCCAAGTGTTCATGTCCACCGTGAACTTTAGCGCACCTACAGGCACCGTCAGATATTGACTGCCGTATTTCACAGTAGCGTCGCCTTGGAAGATTTTCGCCGTGAGGTTGAACTCCACCGCAGTCTTGGCACTACCAACTTCGATCGTAGACACAAACGTCGTTGAAGACGCCGTGGTGCCATTTATCTCCTCCTCTGTAATAGCAGTCCAGTCGCTATTTTTCGGTTTGAATTTCGTGACTGCCTCAATCGTTTCTCCTTTAGCATTCAGCTCAGTGAGACTGGCTACCGTGAGGCGCATGAACTTGCCATTCTTGCAATCACCTGACGGGCAGACTTCCATGTTAAGACCCTTACTGTCGAAGTTGGCCGCAGTCTTAATCGGTTCCATCTTCATGGAGCCTGAGCCATCGTCGGACGATTCCTCCGGAGCGGTAAAATTACGGGCAGACACGTCAGCAGCATACGCGAGGAGCCACACGAGTGCGAAGGCTGTCGGATTGATGATCTTCATGGCAGGATATTGGCCGCGGAAGAATTTGTTTCTGGTCGTTTTGGTCGCCTTGTTGCGTGCTTGTGCGCTTGAAAGTGAATTTCGGAATGTTCATGGTTCGGAGGGGCAATGATGTCCTGCACCAACAACTTGTACACCTTCCCAGAAGTCCACGACAGGTAAGAAGCAACCAAAGAACCAATACTTGATGAAGTCGAAGCTATTTGCGTCGATAAGACAGTGCTTTACTGCTTTTATTAGTTTTAGTTGAAGTTGCATAGGTATGATTTTTGGTTGCCGTTGTTATTCTCAACGCGGTTTGCGATTATTGGAATATTGGATACTAGCTACGCACTGGGCGCTACAGCAGTCTTGCTTCGAAGTCTAGGGTCTAGCTATTCTACATTGTCCACTTCATTGAGATCCCGTTAGGTTGGACTTTTCCTAAATGACGGATACTTCGTAATTTAATATATCGTTTAAACTAAAAATGGATATTTTAGAATCTTAAAATAATGTAATATTTCGCACAGTTATTTATATTGGTCCGAATATATTTTTGGAACAATGGATTTCAGATTAGTTTCGGTTTTTTCTCGTGCCTCGACTATTTAAGTCGGGAGTGGAGCTGCAGCATGTCGCCGTGTTCCCACCGCAACGTAAAGGCGACAGTTCGAAGCAAGTCTACTCAAGACTCTTGCAAGAGATCTCGGATTCATGCCCGTTTCCCGCTCTATTGGTACATTGTGATTGGGAGAAATATGCTGGAGTGTATCCACAGCACGTTGCAAAACTGGCATTGTCGACACCTCGACGGATACCCTCGAGGAGCACCATACCGACAGTGAGCTCCTCGGAGCATGCCACCAAGTCCTAACATGCCCGAGAACCTGAATCCCAGCGTCCGGGGTGAAGACCGTTGCGACCTGGACGTGTACTCCCTCTTTGGTGAATCCGTGGATGACACCATTGCCGTCAACCCCGTTCACCCGCAGCAACCTCGCAATAATAACCTTCCACGCATCTCCGTCATGTCTAGACCGGAGCCCAGACAGTCTCCAGCCGGCCGAAGAAGCGCAGTGGTGTTGGATGGCGATAGACGAACGACGCGGCTGCATTCGGAAGAAAACGAAGCCCCGTTCAGCGGTGGAATCTGCCGACAGCTAGCTGCAATGTACACGGACGTGGGGATGACCACTGTCGAGCGTGTACGGTGGCTCTGTGGATGGATGATTTTGGTGTACGCGCTTACGTGCTGCGCGTGGTTTGCGTGGCCAGCTTACTCTGTACCGTTGGTGGGCATCCTCACGGGTACCGCTGGTTTACTCGCGTGTCAACGTCCGCACGAACAAAGCTACATGCTGTACGTGTTGGCCTTCACAGCGTTAAATTACGCGCAAATAGCGCAACTCGTATGGCTGGTATTTATTACGGTTTCTACGGAACTCGCGGTGAAGTGCATCGATGACTGTGCGAGCACCGAAACCAATACAGTTTTCATTGTGCTGCTGGTTGTAGCTACTGGGGTTTTCCACTGGAGAGTGGTGACGATCACAAGACAATACGTGCGGGAATTCCGTATGATTCCACATTTAACGGCTTGGAGGTCAGAAGCTTACTTCTACGATGCCTCGTACTCTCGAGCTGCAGCTTCCTCGACGATGGGGACAGAATCCTCGGTTAGTGATGCCTCGGTTGCTGTTGTTTCTGAGTCAGAACGCCAGTCAACAGTACCTTACCATACAGACAACACCCAGTTAACACGACTGTGATGTATAGTGCGCGACTGAGAATTGTCAAATAGATTCTGATGGTTTGTTTAGGCAATGGATTGAGTGTGTATTACCTGGTACTTAAGTTTCTGTGCAAAGCACGGAAGCTGTCTGTGAATTGAAACACGAAACACTAAGAGACAGCAGCCGGGAACCTTCGAGCTCAAGGTTCTTCGATTCGTGAGTCTCAACTGATAAAAGACTTATGTGGTGCAGGCTTAGTCATTAGTTGCGGCGCAGGGTGCGGCGGGAACGATACGAGCTCTCAGGCTCCTCAGTCGTGGTTTCAACAGTACCGGGCTCATCCGTCGTCAAGTCAATCACCACTGACGCTGGAGTATCCGGGTCGTAATCTGGTGCACCCGTTTCAGCCGGAGTCTCTTCCGTCTCACCCTCCGGTGCTTCGGTCGGCGTCTCCGTCATGCCGTACGGTGGGTACTCCGTAGCAGGGGTCTCTTCAGTGCTTTGCTCCGGGGACGGAGTATAGACCTCATCAGTGACGGGGTATGGAGTTTCGGCCGGTGTTTCTTCAGTACCCTGTTCCGGGGACGGAGTGTAGACCTCATC